CCCAGAAGCCATATAAAAAGTGACAGCAAATTCGTTTTCATTATCACATAGTTGTATACAAATATATTTTCCCCATTTCTGATGCCCCTCATTTCAAACAATTTGTTTTGACATATTTTTGCTCGACTAGGCAGAATTGTTCAAAACACCACCAGAAAACAAAACACAGAGAGAGAGAGAATGGGAGAGAGAGATAGAGAGACTGTCAGACAGAGGGCAGCCATAGGCACTCGACAGAAGCTAAATCATTTCGTAGAGAATACTTTTTACAGATTGCGGTTTGTGGGCTATCTCTCGTCTTTCTGGCCTGTGTCTCTGAGTTGCTGATAAAACAAATTTTAAGTCTGTCTCTCACTCCTCCCGCTCCCCCACTTTGGGGCAAGTATCAATAAACCCATAAATTTAAAACAGCACGCCACAAAATATGTATATTCACTTGCTCTCTCTCTCTCTCTCTGTCTCGCTTAAAAACAAAAAACAAATATGTGGAATATAAGTTCAAATAAATTTGTTGTTGTCAGCCTTTATTTATGTTCCGACTTCTCTTTTTTTTGTGGGCGTCCGTCCGCTCACTGCGGCCACAATACCATCTATCTGTCTATCTATCCGTTCATCTATTGCTCGAGTATGTATCTGTGTGTGTCTCTTGTAACTAATTTTTTGCATATTTTGTCATAAATTGTCTCCGCTTCTGTCCCCTAGCCTTGATGTCGATTTTATGGATCATGTTCTGTTTGTTGCCAGTTTTTAAGCCATTAAACGGTTCAACATTATTTTAATGAATTTTTATTGCTGGTCGTGTCGTGGCAGTTCGTGGATAAGTTTCTGTCCGAAGTGTTTACATTTTCTGTCCGTGAAAATTATGGGAAACATGCAAAATTAGTTTCGTACTAGGTGTGAAAGCAATGAGCTCATTTATCAGTTATAGAACCTAATGGATCTCACAGCCTATTCTTTGGCATTTTTCCAGGGGTTTAAATCATCCCACGAGTCAATCAAACAACAACGAGAGTTCTTTCTATCAGAGTCTTATCCAATCTATAAATTATTTCCACATTATGTACCCACACCCTTTACCGATCGCTGCAGAACAGTAAGCCAGCCCTAGGGTGTCTTTGTGGCTCACCACAAATATTGACCAACATTCAGGGCGGCCCATAAATAAGCAAACAGTTCATTAGCTCCAGAGCTCCATCTGGCAGCCGCTTGCACAACAGCAGAATGCAGCAGTTATTTTAGAAATCGAAGCCAAAGCACAGTCACACCTTCCTTCCATTTGTGCTGCCCTATCGAGTCATAGAACTGAAACTCTATCTTATCGCTGGCGCCTTATCGCTAAGGTAAACAAAAGATAAGCACAGCAGACCCCGCGCACAGAGAAACTCATTTGCCAAATGACGCATACGATTCGTATATGGAGAGGTGGAAGAAAAAAGATTATAGAGCAATAGGAAATGGAAAATGGAAATGAAAATTCTATTTTATGGCCCCATCAAATGGGGCAAACTAAAACACATATAAACATTGACAGACAGATAGAAAAATACTATGGGAAACTGGGTCAAAAGGAATGGGAAATAATATTGTGATTTTTGGCTAATTAAATGGATAGACCTATTTCTCATTTCGCCCATCCTTTAATGGATGTTTTACTCCCTCAACATATGCCTCGAAACAGCTTTCAATTCTCTTGGAAATTTTCCCATTTTAATTGCCAAAACGTGAGCAAAATTCTCAAAATCAGAAATCGAAAAGAGAACATCCGCCCCAATGGAAATTATGTTAATTAAATTTATGATTGAGCAGATAGTTATGGCCCAGGCAGGCAGATAATGCCTATATAATGGACCTCTCTCCCTCCGCCACTGCCTCAGTTCATTTGCAGTTTGTTGTTGATTTAATTGCAAAATATATAGAGATATTTATTTTTTAATGGACTTGCCCTGGCCGAGGCCTGGTTATTAAAATAGAAATTACTTTGACTTTGGCTTTGTTTCTGTTTCTGTTTCTGCTGAGCTACACAGCAAAATGTAGCATAATTGTTGTTGTATAAAAATGATTCGATTCAAGCTTAATGGTGGTAATCGAGGGGTTGCTTTTGGAATTGTAATTTGGGTACTATTAGAGGTATTTCGCATAAATGTCAAGGCAGCAAACATTTTGGATTGAATGTTAATGCTGTGGCTGGAATATATGATGATTGTGATGATGATTATGGGTTTTGGGGAAGTACCTAAACTATGTAGTCGACCAATGTTCGGTATATTTACACATAGGTCAAGTTGCTGAGTGGACTCCCTCGATTCCAGTTTCCACTCACGACTGACTTTTATATTACTTATTTTTAAATTTTACACCTTAATTTTTGTCGTTTTCTGCCCACAGATTTTCAATGTACCAAAACATTCCGTAAGACTTTTAATTCCACTCCATTTCCTTTTTAATTAAATTTTCCATGCTCTGATTTTAGTTTCCCCATCGCCTGCAACATTACACAACCCCAACAAATTTGCCCAATTCTTGCACAACATTTTCTAATCGCATTAAACCAGCAAGAAATCTTTAAAATTTCGTCATATGAATGTGTTTGTTTATGTTTATCAGAAAAGGCGGCATCAATAATTACAGCATCAAAAGAATCAGAATCGAAGATATATAAACAGTGAACAGGGGAGAGAGGGTGAGATGGGTGGAAAAACTCTCCCCCTTGCCTGAGACAGGGGCACGCCACATGCGTTTTTTAACCTTGATTAAGTTGACGTTCTAATGATGCGGCTAATGGTGGCAATGATGTTCCTAATGATGATGCTGCCGCTTCTTATGGTGATGATGATGTGGATGTTGATGCTGATACTGATGATGCTGCCCCCAGTGGCAGTGGCAGCCGCAACATCATTAACAACATTATCAACAACAGCAGCAGCAAGAACAGAAAACTTCTTGGGTATTTTTTGTTTTTAATTGCCGCCTGGCACTTAGCTAATGTAATTTATATTACATCTTCAGACATCTTATGCTGGTGCTACCTCTAAAAGCCCTAAGTAGCTAAAAGTAGCAATAACATAGTCGATAAAACGACTAGAGGATACCCAGCATTTTATCCGATGTACCAGTAAAATATTATTAAAATTCTGTAAATATTGTGGCCTTTAGATCGCAGGAATATTTAGATATTTTCATATCTAGATGTCTCAATATAGGCAGAAGTGAGCTATTATTATGGTTGTGCCTATTACAAATAAAAATATACCTTCCCAAACACAAATCCAGGGTATAAAGGCAACAAAAAACCAGCAGCAAAGTGCAGCATCCAAAACCAAAGCAAGCTCGTAAAAAATAGAAGGAGTAGGAGGTGTCAGAAGGGAGAGATGGAGAGATAGAGAGAGAGAGAGCGTGGAGAAGAAGTAAACTTTTGTTTATATTTACCTAACATTGTACTTGAAAGATATTTTCGTATCTTTCTGCGGCTCACCTCTCACTCTCTCTCATGTCTCTTTCTAACTCTGTTTTGGCTCTCTTCTTTGTTGTTTGTTTATCTAATGGCTAAAAAATATTTAAGCTGTAAAATGTGTGGCCGTAAGATGGCTAAAAGCTGCTGCTGCTATTGCTGCTCTCAGACTCGTCTTCTGTGGGTTTTCGTTATTTGGAAAAGTCATAAATACTTTTTAGAGCCCCTGCCCATGGTCCAGAGAGAGAAAAAGGTTCAGTTAGAGACACATCCAAAACAGATAAAGTCGCACATAAAAAGTTGCTATATTTTCAATTTATGCTAAAGAAAGAAACCTCTCACATCCCCTCTCCCGCCTACAACCCACCTGCCTACCAGCCTGCTATCTTAAATGTTTTTTCCTGTTGGTAATTAAAAAGTTTTCTGTTACAGAGGCCCAGCTTCCCCTCCCCATCTCGCAGCACTGCCCTGTCTGTCTGCCGGCTTAGATTAGCTAATGCAGGTGGAAAATTCTCCAAATTTGGCCTTGCCAGTGGGTGGCGTTGGCGGTGGGGGGCGGGATGAAGAGGCACCTGGGGACTATGATAACAGCAGTAACAGAAAAAGCTTTAAGCTGTAACTGCAGCAATGAGTGGGGAATATCTCTGGGGTTTACTTTAAGATTTCGCTTTCGAGGTTACTTTTTGGATGAGATAATGAAGGTCACACCGCGATAAGGAACAGAAGGTACAACAGGAAATGAAGATGGTCATTGGGCGATGATAAGTCTCTATGGAAATAAATCCGTAGACCAATGAATGAAATACCAGATGGAAAAAATGGAATGCCTTTTGGCTATTGAAGGAAAAGTATATTCTTAGATTTCTCCATAGCAATATTTATGACCCTTTAACATATACAAACATTTCTGCTTATTATGGGGTTCTACTGAAATTTCATTCCAAAGTTCTATCAACTACGTGTATTCTTAGAACTTATCCTCACCGCTACGCCACGAATCCGAATCCAACTCCTACTGCCGACTGATGCCAGCTCACGTCTTAGCCATTCCCATTCCCATTCCCGTTTCCAGCTTCTCATCCACATTCCTCAAAAGTGTCAACGGGAAAAGCCTACAACACGGGGAGGACCGCCCAGCCGCCGCAGCCCAGGTCTGCCAAGGCGCGATGCCTCACCTCTTTCATTCATAAAGATTCACATCTCCATCAGAGGAGCAGTGGAGAGGGGGCGAAACACGACAAGTTCTTGGAATGGCACAGCACAGCACAGCCACAAACGTCTTTCGAAAACTTCTTAAACTACGAGGAGTATTTTTCGCTCTAACGAAACCTGTTCTGGGAATGGAACCCAAACGGACGACAGAGGACGCGAGACCCCGGACCCAGTTCGGACATAATTAATGATTTCACAAATATTTCACAACGAAAACTCATAAAACTCATTGATTGATCTGGAAACACACAGCAAACCCAAACCCAAAAAATAAAACGCTAATGACACGGCTTTTCCGTGACTTTAAGGTTGAGAAATCTTTAAGCTAGTCAAAACTTACGTCTCTGGAAATATCGGCAATATCTGCCCAGATCGACTGGGTATAGTGCTACCTCCTTCTGGCACGCACAGTAATCAAACAAAAATAGACGACACACAGTAATAATAATTTTCGTTGGATGTTTTCTATGGGAAATGCTCGCGGGTGCAAATCATTCATAAAGCGGGCGAAAACATTTCATTAATTTTTTGCACACACGCACGCGGGACCGCGGCCCGGACCGCTGACTATTGTGGACGACTGTGGTGGCGCCCCGCCCCGAAAACAAGTTCCTCTCTTGCCGTAGCAATGATACACCAACGGGAAGGGGTGACGAGGGAGAGAGGCACAGAATTTGCACGCGCGCGAATTGTGGTTTTTTGACTATGCTCTGACTTTTGCGACACACTGTTCCGTTCCGACACCACTCACGGCAAAATTTGAAACACGAATGCGACCTAACGGATCCGACGAAGGCAGAGACGCCAGCTGTCGGCTGTGTTCGTTCTGTCGATGTATAGGTGGGGGAGAGAGAGAGAGAGAAACATGCAAAAACAACTGAGAGAGCAAACGAGAGAGAGAGGGACTGCGAGAGAGCGGCAGATAAATAAGCTATGAAGGCAGCTGAGTAAAACTCTGGTTGGACTCTCATTGAGTCAGATGTAGATATCTCATATGCAGGCACTGCTCTGGGGTTTGAAACTCGACTAAACGGTGAGATAAGTGGAACTGCACCAGGGCATAGCACAGGTGTGCTGATTGTTGGGATTCCTGAAAGATCGGTGTATAATATCATTTTTACATATCTTTGTACCATTTCCATTTTATTTTATTGTGGAAACAAGACTCGATCAAGTATAAAGCTCTCCTCGAAGCTGTACAGAAGAGTTTGATGTTTTGTTTAATATAAAAAAAGTCCCTCCTATTAGCGGTTCCAATAGTTATCCTCTATGTGTACTTCATTTCATTGGGTTCACCGTATATGTATAAGAACCCAATTGCACGTCTCAACTCAACAAAATTCCTATCAGATTCTGATGCAAAGTAAAACAAATGCATCAAAGTAAAATGTAATTTTTTGGGGAGCGGTTCCACAAGAAAAGCCGAAAATTCATGAAAATGCATTAGAAAAAGATAAACAGAGAGGAAAACTCACAAAACGTGAGAGAGTGGCAGAGAGAGAGAGAGAGAGATAATAACAAAGTAACGGAGAGAGAGAGCAGACAGAGAGCGAGAAAACTTTGCCGGCATGTTTTGCACTCAGATAAAAATTCAAGCTAGAATTCCGCTCTCTCTCTTTCTCTCTATTGCTTAGCTAGTTCCACTAAATGCGGCCAGATGGCGCCATGGTGGAATGAACATGAGAAATGCATCGGAGTCGTGGCTGATAGTTGTTATGGGGAGGGGAAAGATTGTGTGGCGGGGAGAGTATGTATTCCGACTGCGGGCTGCATTCTTGGAAATGTTGTTTGCAAAAAGCGTCGCCAGTTTGCCGGTTGCTGCCACAAATGCCGCGTAATCACTTTTTGTGCCATGTCGCCGGCAGTCAATTCGCAGTCGCAGTCGAGTCGCGCTGCCTCCGCCATCGACGTCTCCGGAAGTTGCAACACGTCTACGCATATGCCGCCCATAAGCGAACCTGCCACACCCAAACAATTGCAAATTTCAGCCTAACCAGAACCACCCGCTTCCCCATTGCAAAATTTTCAAAAAAAGAAGCAAAGAATACTGTCTGGAAAGCCGAATTGTTAGATACCCTTGGAAAACCATCGTCAATCAGATCACTCTATGAATTCGGTCCAGTGGAAATGGACTCTTGGATTGTATCATATTTCGTATAGATCCCTGTACTCAACGATTCTTAAGGCAAAGTCACTTTTTAAAGTACCAAACATCCAATATAAATCAGAATAACTTCTGCAAGAGTATTCTACAAAGGAGCAGGAGACTTGAAAACCTTTTGGTGGAGTTGAGTTATTGCTCGGGTGGTTCCGGGTTCCACCATTGTTCCATGAATACCCCCCACCCGAAACCCCACTCAGGACACACACTCTTTTTTGTGAACATGTGTGAACAACTGCAGTCTAGGCTTGGGGGCGGGGGCTGGTGAAAAGCCACCCCCAAAACGGTCGACGTCCTACCCTCAGGGCTGCGATTAATCATGGATATTCTCACAGAAAATATCCATTAGATACGAATTAAGACATAATTGAGAGTGCAGGGCAGGCCTCATACACGTTTCGAGTGCAGCCCAAGGGGGGCTACGGAACGGCTACGGGAAAGGAGTTGGCACTAAGGGGAGGCTGCTTGCTCCCCGTGTGTGTGTGTGTGTGTGTGAGTGTGTGCTGCATCATAAATGCTGCCTCAAGTGTCGGGGACATATTTATTATCCATGTTCGGGCACAAAAAAGTATGCCTGCCTCAAGGCTCGGGAATTAAACAGCCATTGTTTTCAGGTTTCAGGAGTGATTCAGATTCAGATTCAAAAGGCTTTGGCTTTAATTACAGTTTGAGTGGCACTGGAAGAGCTCAGCACCCACAGAAAATTATGGGAAATCTCTTAACGAGTATGAAAATGTACAACAAATTTTGTTTTAAAAGAATCGTTGCCCAACTCGGTGTTGTGAAGCCTTTGAACAATAAATTTTAGCAAGGGAACAAAAATATGGTATGAAAATATATTATTAAAAAATATTTATATTAAAACAAAAGTATCTAAGTTCAAATATTATAATATCAGTGTCTTTTATCTCTTTTTATAAAAAATCAAACAAGATAATATTATTTGCAGCAATCTGATTAATGCATAATGTGGATTTAACCCCAAGAGACACACAGAAACTTCCCTAGGCCCCCGCAGTGTTGGTAAATGACGGCCAAGTCACTGCCACCTGTTGGAATGCACTTTGAAAGCCCTCACAGCATTCCCCCCCCACCACAAATACTGGCTGCCAATTTGTCGTTACACGCGACAGCTACAAGAATTTTGTAAATGCCAAAAAAAAAATAACAGAAAAAAACCTGAATATAAAAATGAGGGGGAAAAAAAGAAAAACAAATTGTTTTGTGCTGGTGATATTTTGATATGCACAAGAAAATGCCCGAACCGAAACCGAACAAGTGAGGCGAACGAACAAGTGTTATATGACAGGCCTCTCTGTCTGACATCCAACTGTGATTTCGGTTTTTTCCTAGGCTCTTTTTTTTACTGAATTTGTTGGATACAAAAAGCTTCGTTGTTGGCCGAATGTAATGTGGAATGTAAGTTTGTATGTTAATTTGATTTCGGTGTCAAATGAGTTTTGGGGTTTTTTTTTTGTTTTTGTTATATTCATTTTTATGGCCTGCACTTGGGCTGCGCTTTTATAGCCGAGACCATCGAGAGTCGAGTCCCATTGTGCCTGTAGTAATTGCTTGTCGACCGGCTTCAGGTCCGCCTGTAGCCATTTGATCCCCCCTCTCGATGTCAATCTGTTTGGGGGTTTTCGCTTTTGATTGTGCGCACTTATGTCTTTATTGACAACGCCGCCCCATTGCTCATACTCATAATATAAATAATTTATTGCTCTCAGACATTGAGCAATTTGTAAATGGCCAAAAGCAATACCCCAAACCTAAACCCAAACCCCAAAGATACTTGTGCATACTCGTATGTATCTGCTGTACATGTACATACTTCCAATCGCTTTGCCACGTCTCTCTGTCAGTTCTTTTTGTGGCTGATTTGCATTTGATCAAGTGCAGTTGAGGTAAATGAAATTAAATGCTGGCAAAAAAAAATAGAGCTCAAAGGTTGTTCAAGGACTCTTTCGGTTAAGTGATATACTGCCATTAGTGCGCATTTAATTGAGTTAGTTTTTGTGGGAGATTGGACAAGTAAATTCTTCACCATTGATGTAAATGAAACCATTACATATTTATGGATAAATAATTTGTGAACTTGATTTGAACTTTGGAAAATGTTTGACTAAATGATTGAACTTAGGAACCATGCTACCGTTATTTATTTATATTTTTAAAGCCTTGCATTTTTTCTTAAGCACGTGTAAGCATGTGTGGGACACATCTTACATTGACCTCTTTCTTTATGAATCCCTTTCTAAGACTGGATTTTCCTCTAATCCCTAACCGCATCTTCTGCTCCACATCGCACCTCGACTCAAAGTAGTTTTCTGCATAGCATAATCCATTATTTTCCAGTGGACAGGCCCAAAACAAAGTCATTTATTATGCCCTGGCCCTGGCCCATTCAAAAAAATTTGTCACTATTCTGCACTTGTTCGGTGTTTGTTTTTTTTTTTTTGTGCTCTGCTTATCAGGCCAGAACGAGCGAGAAGCAAGAACCTCGGTTTTGGGGCCATAATTAATTTGGCCAAGCACAACAGGCCGCATACAAACAACCAAACAAACAGCGCTCCCAAACAATGGCAAACAAATTGATTAATGACAGCGTATTAAACAATAATCGAGATAGGCCTCCGGTCCGATCAGGGAGGAGCCGCAGCTGGAGGAGCCCTGTAACCCATCGAAATGTTGTTCGCCCACGCAGAAAACTGAACGGAAACTTTTTTCCCGCGCACGCAGCAGCCACAGCTACAGCAGACGAAAAAAAAAATGTTTTTATCAACATTTGCCGCTGTTCTTGTAGTTCCTGTTGTTGGTTGCTAAAAACAATTCATTTAAATAATATCTGAACCACTTTGCTGGCCAACAACAGGAGGAAACAAATCATTTTTCATATCCTTCGTGTGCATCTCTGTCGCTATATCCCCGAGCTGGCAAATTAATAATGTGTAATTAATATTTTTCGGGTTTGGACCGGGCCGGGATTGTGGGTTCTATACATACATACATACATACATATACGAAAGGCGTATACGTACTACGTATACTCGTTCAGTGGAGGTTAGGAATAAAACGGGAAAACGGGAAAAGGTTTTTGTTTGCAAAATTGCTGGCCAAACCTTAACAGATAGATCTTATCAGGGGAGATTTTTTTTTGGCTTAAAATATATTTTAAGTCTTTGAAATCAAAACTTCGAGTTCCATTCCGAATAAAGACCAAAGCAATCAATCAATCCAATCAAATCCGTTCCGTTTCGAGTCAAAACTCCGGGCTTAACTTCAACTGTCAACTGGTAAACTATTTAATTAAACCCTGACAAAGGTGCTGGCCAAAACTATTTCCCTTTCAGCGTAAACCGAACATAACATAACGAAACATAACGTAACGCAACGCTTAACGTAATAGCCTTTCATGTTTGCTTAGTAACCCACATCAATTCTAATCGCCTGAAGCCACCACCACACGCCCACCACGACCCCACCATGCGATGGTCCAACACTCACCAGAGCTATCTCACTCCCACACCCACACCCACACACCCCCAAAACTCCACACTCCACACCACGCCCCCCACAACAAGGCAAACGATTTATGGCA